TGTTTTTATTTTATGCCCTGCAGGGGAGTAAGGAATACCCCCATGTGTAGTTGTGAAGGGGGGACCAGGAATCTTCACCCACAAAATGTTAGTCAAAAAAGGTTGATTTTACACAATTTTGTAGCCTACTTAAAATGTGTTTGTCAATTTTATTTTTTTACTGCAAAATCTAAAAATGTTGCCTCATGGGGGGGGGGGGGCTCAAGACCCCCCCTAGCCCATATTGATGGATGCCCATATGAAATGGTGAAAGAGAGAGTCTACATAAAGAACACTTAATTTTCACACTTTTTTTGTAAATAGAGAAATTTGCTAAATTTCCCTATAGGGAAATTCGCTAAAATCTGTCCGGATGTAACAGAATTGAGTAAAGTTTCTTACAAATGTCTTCACGTATTAAATAAAACTTATAGATTCTACACGTACCCTACCTATATTTTTTATATTCCCAAGTGTATATTTTTACAGTTGTATTTATAAATGTATAGACCTACCGGTACTGTTTTATAGCTTCACTGTTTAAGCACAAAATATTAACTACAAAAATGTTTAGACATATTCAATCAAAATTTCTAGGGCCCTCATGTGTATGGCTTATAGTTTTTTCCTTTCCATTATTTACTTAAAACTAAGTATATTAAACATTTTACTTGTCACTGTACCTGTTAGGAGCAAGAGGGCTACGAAGCTGCCTCATCAGACAATCACTCTGAAAAACGGACAAAACCGCAGCCAATATTACTGATTTCATGACAAGGAGATAACAAAAACTATTTAACCAAACTTACCTGGGGCAATGTGTGATTATTAGCCTTCCAGGAACTTCATCAAGACAGAAGGAGTAGGCCTAATTAACGATGGCAAAAACAGACATTCTTTTCCTCATTAGCAATAAACTAACCACGGAACTTTATGATAAAAAATGAGAACTGGTACAATAAATATTGATATAGTATGACAGGATTTAATTACGAGTCCAAGTTCTAGCGATGAGGAAGAAATGTTTTCTGTGTAGAGTGAACAGCTGTTATGCGATGCAAAACAAAACCACTACAAGCGATTCCTTGTACTATGGTATTGATTTGTTCCAATACTGTAACAGTTTGGAAAAGAACAAGAGGTTAGGAGAGGCAAAGATATGATGAGAAGGAATGCAAAGATTTCCTAATGTAAAAGACATCTAGAAATACAGCTTAAGATTGATGACTGCAGACTACTGTTTTTAGGAATGTGAGAAAGGTAGGTCGGGCTTCTATATGGATTCGTGACTGAATTAGCCTTTTCAGAGTTTAATGAACTGAGTTATTAATTTATGTTATCACCAGTATGTTTTAGTACAATTAAAATAGAGGAGAAAACACAATAAAAACCATTTAAAAAATCGGCTCTCCACATAGGCCCTACCTTCTTCCTATTCAAGTGCAAGTCACCGCTAGAACTTGGACGGAACGGACAAAACCACCATCCAAACCGCTCTATGAACCTTAGATTTGTAATTTTTTATTTTGCTTTCTGTCACTGTAAGACCTTTTTTTTAAAAAAAGTGATTGCATTTTCGGATTCAGCGTGACAAATATTGTAGTCCTAAGTACAAAGTGAAACTATAGGCTTTTCAAGTTTTACCAATGGGAACTTCTTCGCACATTTCAGCCATGATTACCAACGGGTCATTTTAAAAACAAATCTTCAGGTTAACAAACTCAAATTTGTGAATACTACCTATAACACTGATTACACACATATGTTACAGGGTGGCGCAATAAAAAACGAGTAGGTTTCAGTAGCATAGTATAGACGCTGCGGACGAGTAGGTAATTTGTGAGCAACACCTTTTTTTAGATTAGAAGTTTTGCCGAGAAATGTTGGACTTTGCTGTGGACTAAGCAAAATCAAGCTTTTTCTGTTGAACTGTAGCCTATTTAAAATCTAATGAATCTGTCATCAGAGTTTAACGTACTTTCTGTTGAGAGTTGTCAAGCGTTTAATGGTTCGATAGGGTACCTGATCGCAACACAATACTTCCCTACGGCGAACTTGTTTCAGTTGTAAAGATGAAATCAACAGGTCATCCTTGTAGGCCTACAGCGCAAACCGTGCAAAATGTTCTTTGAAGTCCTCGTCGCTCATCCTAAGCAGCGTGCTCCGACCTTGAGGATATGTCCATTGCTATGCCATTACTATAGAAGCACTTCAAATGATTCTATAGCCAATAATATTTTCCTTAACGGGAATTTTGTCACATTATGGAGATACTAGATGGACTAACACTAATTAATACATAATTTCTAGTTAGACATGTCATATTAGTTTCATGTCAAGTTCATATTGAGTCATGTCAGGGTGGTCGGTGAAGCTTTTAAGCCTGTGTGAATTGGGGGCTGTAAGTTTTTAAATAAAGGTAAGTTAGGTACCTACCTATCTTAGGTGTTCAAATTTAAGACCCCCCGTTAAGTTTAACGCATGTAGCAACCTTACAACACAGATTTTATGGTGAAACCAGGTTTTGCTCCAATCGTGCCAGAGGGAAAGTGCTTAGAATTGCCTAACTTGCCTATTTTTTTAAGTTCGATTAAGTGAGGTCCCTGTTGAAACTTAATTAAATGAAAACCCTTCTTTATTGAGGCGAACTTAGGACTTCATGGTCCTTTCTTACAATTAACCTCTTAATCAGTTAACTTTCTTAAGTTAGAACGTTTAACTTACATTCTGTAACTTAACTTATTATGCTAACTTACTACAAGCCTAATCTTACCTAAGTCACAAACAGGTAGTTATTTTTTGTTTGGGTTAAATATGTTGTTAGTATTAGGTACCGGTACCTTTGACTATTGATACAACTAGACATCCCATCCCCATGTTAAAATTGTCACCACCTTTTTAATCAAAATTGTCATAGTTGACGTTAGCCACCGACAGATTGTGCTGATCTAAATTACTGAATGTCTGTTGAATACTGTACCTACACAAATTTTTTTACCAAGTCTAATTGATAAACGCCTTACTGTGTGCTATAGCAATTGTTATGACCCTTCAAAATGAGTAGAAAAAATAAGATTTTAGACAAGTCAGCACTTTCTATGACTGGCTCACAATAAAAAATTGAGTGACAGCTAAGTTAGTCCATTTAGCCTAGTCTACTTCAGATTCCAATAGTCAACGGTATTACCTACACTAAGAAATAGGCACTAACTTTTAACCTATCCCAACTAGCCTAGACAAAAAGTTATCAATGTTAAAGCCGGGTTTAAACACTAAGTTATACAGTAGCTAGCTATATAGCAGAGCTAGATATAGCTCAGCTAGAAGTTCAAAAAGTGTCTTCCAAAAGGCTACAGTATCCAAAAGTTTCGGTAAACATCAAAGGAAATCTGAGCTATATCTAAGTTAGCTCAGATAAAGAAGCTTTTTTTAGTCATAAAGCTCTGCTATACGTGCATTTTTGTTTAAGTATCAGAGCTATGTAGCTGCCCCCTCCCTAGAGGCCGCTGCGGCACCTTTGATGTCGCATGTTTGTTTGCTGTGGTCTACTCATTTTGTAGTCAGAATGCTTCTAGTTCAGTCACAACAAATTTCATCACTCCTAGCCTGAAGTGAGGGCTTGATCCAATATCTTCTCTCTACTTTGTGTTGAAAATAGCACACACAGTAGCTGCAGCAAGAAATAGGTAGGCTACCTTCTTCTTTGTCATCTGGCTAGGATCTGAACACTCCAGTTCCTCCCGTGCTATGTATAGCTCTGCTCCACAAAATTAACAGGGACGTAACTAGGGGGGTCACGCCCCTAACCTAATTGCATGAGCCATGGGCGCCAGTTGTTGGGGGCGCCAACACGGGCACAGATTTTTACAAACAAAAATTGTTGAAAATATTTTCAATCCGTCTTGAGTTGCAAAAGAAAATCATTAGGCCTATATTTTTTGATTTTTATATAAGTTAAGTCTAAGAAAGTACAAAGTGAAATGATGAATGCTAACTGACTGTTATTAACTTATACTGTTTACAAATCATGTTAACGGTCCGTATGAACTTGTAAGGAGCGAGTATGAGGATGAGCATACTGCGTTGTCTGTCTGTCGTCGATGAGTCAAAAAGCTAGGACGGCGCCGGCGCAGCGTCAGGACACTTCCTACCCCCTCCCAGCAACCACCTAGGCCTACCCCTCAGCTCCCCATCCCTCACACCAGTCACCACACACACACATAGGCCTACCACAAACACACAACACTAACACATCGACGCTCGTCTGACCTTGACTAACTGCGTATGTTGTGCACTAGTGTAGTTGACAACAGTTCATACTTCATTCTACTCGTAATCAGTGGTTCAGGACACGAAATGTGGTTGCGGTGCTGTTTCTTTGCGTGTTACTAGCAATATTATTTTCGTGTTTTCGTGTTTTGAATAATATAGGTAAACTCATAAAAAAAAAAAACTGTCAGTTGCGGAAAATCACAAAAGAGCGAAAGAGAGAAAAAAAGAAGCACATCAATCCTCGTCTCTTCTATCATAATTTGTAAGGAATTTGTTTCAGTCCAATTGAGGGGGGGGGGCCAAAATAGGTGTTTGCCCCGGGTGCTGAATAGCCTAGTTACGTCCCTGAAAATTAAGCATTAAAATTTAATTAAGTTATAGCAGAGCTAGGTACATTTTGCAGAGCTAACTTATATGTACCGGTAGCTACGGAGCTATTAGGCTAGCTCATTTGTTAAAGCTCTCCAGCTAAGTTATATAACTTAGTGTAGGCCTAAACCCGGCTTTACACACACCAATTTCTAAAAGACCAACTTCACTCAATTCATTCATAGCCTAATTAGGCTAGGTAACGTAATTAGCCTAGGCAGAAAAGGATGAATCTCGGGATTCCCTGTTAAACTTACTGTAATCTACCCTTACCCTACCAGCCCCAGCTTTCTTAGAGATAGAAAAATCAACCTAGGGAGTTAAGTCTCAATCAAGGCTATAGACCTAGGCCTAAGTTAAGATTTGTCAAGTTTTCTTACCTTCACTTTCATAAGACTCGTCACTCCTAGGTCTTGGGCGTTTCTCCTTCTTTCTTTCCTTGTGTTTCTTATGGCGTCTCTTTTCTTTTTCAATGTCCTCATCTGAACCCGACCTGCTACGATCTCGCTCACGATGTTTACGTTTCTTAGATTCTTTCTTATGTTTTTTGTGTGATCCCATATTGAGATCCTACAACTAAGATAAGTTAGGCCTACTTCAAAAAGATTTTGGAATTCAACCTTAACCGTAAACACGCTAGCAAACTCACCTAGGTAGCTTAACTAACTCTACACTGTGTCCTTTAAAAAGATTGTTTAGTTCCCAAACGAAACGGCTAAGGATGAGACGTTAACACTAACAATGCATGGTAATCGGTAATATGGTTAAGTTGAGATTGATAATAACATGGGTAGCATTATTATACCAAAAACAAAACTGACGTCAGCGCAGTGACGTCGACTGCGACTCGGGACTCTCTGCGTTTGATCATAGATAAAACATACATGGTTTGATCCAAGGCCACACTAGAAATTTGGTTTGATTGACTCGACTTTTCACTTGACATCGGATCGACGGTCGACGACTCAACCAACGGCGACGGCGACGCGAGACGCGATGGACGAGTGACGTGACGAGACGACTGACGATGACGACAAAAGACAAAGCGAAAGCAAACAAACACGGCAAACGGGCAAACACACAAACAATAATGAATAATATTTTTGTCTTCCTCTCTTCCTCTTCAGTTCAGTTCAGCCAATCCAATCCAACTCACTTCACTCCACCACCACCGCCATCGCGACCCCCACTCCATCAGGTATAGTCTTCATACATACCACCACAAATGATGGTCAATCTACATTGTTACCAATATTGTTGTACGGTACTGTAGAAACTTTTAAGATTCAATTTATTTTAATCCTCATCTAAGAAAAGTATGTCTAATCAAGTAAAGTAAATATTTTTGAAATCGTATTTGGAATTCTATTGCATAGTTGTTTTAGTAAAAATTGCATACTGTAATGGAAGTTTTGTCAACTGACTGGGATGGCAATGATAAGTAAACAGAATAGGAATGAGGCTATCAGCTGGTTGGTTGGTGGTAGGTGTACTTAACCACTTTGTTGGAAGGAGTAATAAAGTAGCGGTAACTTGCATTTTAGATAAGATATGATTAGATGCTTGGATAAAATATAGCTCAGTTAGTCAGTAGGTGGAGGAGTAAGGAATGTGAAGTTGAGAACAAGGTTCGATGTTTAAGCATATAAGGCACTGTTGTTAATAATTAAATCGTGTCAGTTCAATTACTATCAGGTCAGAGATATATTATGATTGACTTATATGAGGATTTGGACTAAATATAAAGACTAAAAAAGGGTGAGTAACTGTGAAATTATTAATTTATGTAAGGTCCAAGTTAAATTAAAAGTGATAGCATAGCTCAACTTCCCTGATGTCCTGTAAACCATTATTCACTAATAAAATACCATCATCCATTATAGTTATCGTGGTTGGGTTTTTAAAAATATTCTCTTAAGTCAAATTGTCAGGTAACTTTTATATTTCCTTTTAGCGAATTTCCCATTATCGCAAAAAGTTAGCCTCTTGGTAACTTTAAGACCAAGTAGGTCCGGCCAGGACCGATTGACTTTTTCGTTTTGAGGTCCCCAAAGGACAAAAACACTATCTCTTATACTTATATATAATACGTAAAGGCGATTGCTACAAAACACTACCTACTCCTCCGTTAATAATGGAAAGATTTTTACAAACGATATGTCAAAATTAAGTATTTTTTGTGTAGACGCCCCCTTACACCAATAATTTCTTATGAAGAAAAGATTTTTCCTACAGTCACTCGACAAAGTGGGCTTCGTTGCACAGATTAAAGCACAGAAAGCCTTACTTTGGCGCACACCAGTATTCTAACCAAACAACACAAAACAGCGTGCTTTTATTATGCACGTAATCTGTGTATGCTTGAAAATAAGTTGGCAACACTTAAAGATATTACGACAACAATCAGATGTTGCAGCGTTTCCCATTTCATTTAATGTTTGGATTTAATCTAACCTAAAAAAGACTAATTATTTATATGATTAATTATATTAACTGTAGGAAAAATATAATGTGTAACACGAGTGCAAACTGCCTTTGCTACACTCGAGAGCCTTTCCACACTCCCCTACGGTTTGTGTGTAAACATTTCTCTTGTGTGCAGCAAAGTGCCACTTAGCCCACTAGTTACACAAATAACTATTGTTTACTTACAAACAGACAGACAAATAATTTATATTAGTTATTACATCTGTTCATAATAAACTCATGATACACACAAGAGCGTTTGTTTTCAGTTTCAATAACTGGAGTGGAGTAATTGATTACATTACCGTATCATCTTTGTCTTTGAGTTGAGTAATCAGAAATTATGACTGTTATTCGTTTCCAAATAACGCCTGTAATACTTTACAATTGCTCGAATTTGAGCAACAGGCACACTAGTAATTTTATAATCCAATAAACAACTCTAATGCCCAAGCTAACAATAAAACAGTTCACTCAATAATAATGCCATAAAATAATACATTTATACTATAGGCAGAGTGACTAAACCTCTAGTAGCTGGTCTCAATAAAAACCAAGCCAAAAGGCAAAACTAAATGCCAGTTGTACTATTATTAAATTATTGAGCTAAACTTACATAGTAGCAGTGTAGTATAATTATAAAATAAAACTGTACCCATAAAATACTTTCCAAGCATTAAATAAATATATCTGATAAACGGTACTAAGCTACCAAGATAACGCGCCTGAACAACAAACAAGCAATCTAGTAAATTAAAACCATACAATATAACCATTAAAACCACTTAAGTCAGGTGCACTAAGCACTAGGTATTAGGTGTTAGAGTGCAGGTAGGTATTTTTTTCTATCAAATTCTTATAATATATTTTTGAGGTTTTCTTTGTAAGCTATAAACATTTTGTTTGCAGTGTCTTTTTGGGTCCAACAAACCAACTTGCGTGACATTTTTTTTTTTATTTTCAGTGAATTATCATCGTTTTGACAGCCAGAAGGTTATGATTGGTAGCTTGGATAATACTACCAGTTGTCCGTCCTGTGGAAAACCCAACCATCTCTGATCGAGTAGTAGACATTGAGTCAAAAGAAAGTTGAAATTCCGAACCACTGTACTGCAGTTGCAACAGACAGGTCTTTTTAGACATCCAATTTCTTTTCTTTTTATTTCTGGAATTGATCTTCTAAAATCCAATTTTGGGCAGTGGGAAATCAACATTTTTTACTACCAGTAGCCTGTTTTGGGAGTGAGTGGCACAATGAAGCTTTTCCTCTGGGTGTACTTAATATATCAGAAAATTATCACCTTATTCTGCCCAGATCTGAAATGGGTCATGTTTAAAGTTTCGCGTTTTGACTTTTATAGACATTTGTATTCAAAAGCAAAAGCTATTGAAGAAGGAAAAAACCCATATAGTTATAGGTCAAAATGGTGGAAGTTCACCACTGTTGTGGTGGATGATAAAGATATTATAGATGTTGGAAATCAAGCACTCAAGCGCCCCTACAGTAGTTTTAGTCCGGAGGACAAGATAACACATACTGTGTTCAATACAAATAATTTTGACAAGTGGTCCCAGCTGAGAAAGCCATTGGGTCGGATTTTACGTATATTCGACAACTTGGAAGCGGTGCGTGCATGTGGTCTCCAAGTTTGGACCTCCCTAGAAAAGGAAAATCCAGTGGACATCGTGCAGATTTCTAGACAGTATGTTAACAAAGTATTATACCAGACGGTTTTTGGGTGTACTGATCCTGCTGGGGAAGAAGAATTCGCGCAAATGTCTCGGGTTCTTAGGAATAATGATAGTGGTAAATTCCATTTCCCCGCCTTCATAAAGCGACTTATTGCCTCTAAACGTGGATACAAACATGCTGAAGATTATTTCAGACATTTGGTCAGACACAACAGAAACAATCAAGTTGATTCATTCTTGAAGTTGCTCGTAGCAAGATGTCCGGATTGGGATGAGTCGACAATCGTAGCTCATTGTACAGTGTTTCTTACTGGTGGATACACATCAACAGTATCAACAATTGTTTTTGCTCTTTACGAGTTGGCAAAAAACCCAGCGATCCAAAAGCAGTTAAGAGAGGAAATTAACGAGTGCCTGACGATGAAAATTTGTTTAGACAATTCCTATCTGGATTGTGTGGTAAATGAAGTGCTCCGAAAATATCCGCCCTTTCCAGCCGTTCTTCGGAAGTATGAAGATGGAACAATTTCTGTGATTCCCGTGAGCGGGATCCACCACGATCCAATGACCTATGCAGACCCAAATGAATTCAGACCTGATAGATTTTTCACAAAACCTTCAAGATCCGAGTTTCTTCCTTTTGGAATTGGAAAACGGAAATGCTTAGGAGAACATTTGGCGATCTTAATTATAAAAAGTTTTGTTATTTCAATTCTGACGAAATCCACGCTCGAGCTTCCTGGGACCCATAAGCCCCTTGAAATATCGCCAGGTAAATTCACGACAACAGTGTCAAAGATGGAGCTAATTGTACGTGATCAACAGTGACATTGTACTCTGTTATATATGCCTTTTGTATCTGCTAAATAGGATTAAGGGCAGGTTTCAAAAATTTTGTGATATGACATGCAGCGTACAAAACAAATTATAAATGTATATCGACTCTCGTGGCATGATCAATCACCATAACATGCTCATTCCATCAGTTATGAGTCAGCGCTCAGACAAGACAGTCAGTTAAATGATAGTGCTCCGGTCTTATCTCTACTTATTTAATTCCACGTACCGGTTTTGAAGTTAGTGAACAGAGGTGTGCAAAATTTTAATTTCTTCAGTTTTCAACAATCTTTTTATATTATTGTTTTACAATTTTATTAATGGATTTGTGTGTGGTGTGCTCTAAAACAATCAAGTTCTCTCATATATTCAAATAACCTGTAACGAACGTGAAAGAGTGTTCCACGGTAGTTGTTTAAAAATGAGCAAGCAGCCAGACGTAGACTGTATAAGAGTAAAAATTTAGTGTGAAGGTGTCCGCCTTGGGGAGAAACCGAAGGATAAAGCTTACGTTTTGAGGCTAAACTGCAAGAAGGTAAGCTTACATCAGACGATATCATGAGGAAAATCAATGAAATGTTTGAACTTCAAAGAAGTCAGGAGTCAAACTTCAATAAATCACATGAAAGTCTTGGAGAACAATTGGCAGAAAATTTCTAAGTTATAAAAGAGTAAATCCTCAAGTTTGTGAGGCCCCATGACAAGGAGGAATTTATGAGGAAGCGAAGCGTAAAGAGGACTCTTGTCAACTAGACACATGAACCTGGACTATCTACACAATAAGAAGCTCTGACACCAGAAAGGAGAGGGATACTGGCAGGACACTGCAGCGAGACAAGTGAGGAAGGATAAGGTCTGCAAGTTTCTTTGGGTCAGAGGTGGTAAATTTTCCTTTCCAGGCAAGAGAACTCTTAAGTTATACAGGTAACATGTAGTGATAGCCTCAATAGCTTGTAAACCATAACCACAATCTCATATTTTGT